GAATTACTTCACAGTAAAAGCTAAAGGGATGGTTGGTTTTATAGCTCTTTCACTGCTTCTTAAGAATATGTAAATACTTTAATGACCATAGTCTTGACCCAGGTACACATGGGGTTTAAACTAAAGTATTCCGTTTCATAAAACATTTATTAGCAAAATGTTTCATATGGTAAGTCTATTCTTATTGTTAATGTTTGAAACTCAATTGTTTCCATTGTCAATAGCAAAACTGCTGATGACCCAAGACCAATACCGTGTAGTGCGAAGCCTACCTGATTGGGTATAAATAGAATTAACTGTTTAGATAGGACTTGGCACTAAATAATTGTAAAATCTAAAGGAGATTAAATTGTAAATGAATGTTGCTTAATATCTTAAAGAAGAAGTAGGCCAAAGCTCATTTGGCTCTACCTCCTCTGTGGGTCACAGGATTGTACTTAGTTCTGCATTCCTGTGGCCCAGATTCAGTGAGATAAAGTCCACTGTTGGCTGACGTCACAGAGTCAGACTCTGGAGGGATCTTGACTTTAATGTCAGGATCCATTCAGATGTCTGAGTGGCAGCTGGATCAGCTTCTCAGTGTGTTGCTGAGAACCTGAGCCAGCTGCTCTCAGCCCCTCCACAGCCCAGTGCTCCAGTGAATACTGGAGGGGCAGAGCAGAAAGTGTCAGTCCACTCTCCATTCGCTGAAGAATGAGAACTGAGAAAGCAACAATCTTTGAGCATTCAGTTCTTGGTCTTAGATGTGGCAGGGGACAGATGCAGCATCAGATTGATGCTGCATCCACCTTAGTCAGCATGGCTGATTGTTATTTTGAAATCCTACACTTTTCTTTTAACATTGGGCACACCTCCCCCTGTATCTTCATTAAAGTGATTTACTTACATATTTTCTGTTAAATATTTTATTTTTTTGTAGCATTTAACACAGCCATAGATTTTGCAAACAGTATGTACTTTGTGTGGTGAGCTTAACCCATGTGGAAATTACAGTAAGTGTTTCAGTATTGCTTAAAGTGGAACTGCACTGCATTTGAGCACCACAAACCAAAAATGCTATTTAATTCATTAGTAATATTCAAAGCAAACTCCCCTATCAGCCCATGTCTGCATGTTTTATTTTGCTGAGAATTCATTTTGAAAAAACACCCCCTGGTATTTCTGGCAGTGGCCATCTTGAGTAAGGGCAAATGGTTCATGTAGCATTTCCTTCCTGGAATCCATCTGCCCTTAGCTCAGGCATTGGTTGAGCTGAGAATCCTCCCCTCCTGAAGACTCCTGGGATGTATGACATAATTTGCCTAGGCATGGAAACCAGGAAGTATCTGAAGAAATGTGAAAAAAAAGTTTTTAAAACAAGTAAATATGATATACTTTCTTATCTATTTGCTGCATAAGGATTAAAAGTAGTCAGTGTTGATTGAGAGAGTGAAGTTCCACTTTAATGTATTCTCTGCATTAAGGTAAAAAACCTTCTGTGCTCAGCTCTCCTCCCCAGCCCCCAAATACTTTACTGAGCCCAGTCTCGATCCAGCAATATGCTTGAGAGCAGCCTTTTTTTAACTCACCCTCTCCTCTACTTGCACAGCCTGGGAAAGAGGAAAGGGGCAAGGGGGAAGTAAAAGATATGAGTCACTGCATATAACTGAAAGGTATGAAGCTTTGCATGTAATACTAATATTAAACATTGCGGGAGATGTACTAAAACTGGTGCACTCAGAATCTGGTGTGGCTTTCCATGGTAGCCAATCAGCTTCTAACTTCAGCTTGTTCAGTTAAGCTTTCACAATAAAATCTGGAAGCTGATTGGTTTCTATGCAGAGGTGCACCAGATTTTGTGCCATGCAGTTTTAGTAAATAATCCTTATTGTGTTTAATTTGATAGCATGTGGCACTACTGTCTCTAATACAGAGGCATTAGGAAACTAAAGTAATAGCATGTAGTACAGAGGTATGAGGCACTGCTCGTAACAGTGGTATGGGATACTGCATGTAATACAGAGAAATGGGGTACTGCATATAATACATAAGCAAAGGAAAATTTCTAAGAGGCACTGGTTGCAATAGGAGTGAAGCATTGTATATGCAGTGGAGGCATGAGGCACTGCATGTAACAAATGCCTCTCAAGCACTGCAGTCAAGGCTTGAGGCACTTTGGGTAAGAAAGGCATATGACACCATGTGCTACAGAGATATGAGGCAATACATGTTGTAGAGAGATGATTTGATACAAAGATGTGAGGCACTGTGTGTAATAAAGAGGTACAAGGTGCTGCATGCAATACAGATCCATGCGCACTGTACCTCAATGAGGTGAGTAAGGCTTGTATGTAAGAAAGGCACCCATAAGCCTTTGTATGTAACAGAGAGAAATGGGCCACTGCACATAATAGAAAGGTATAAGACACTTTGGGGTTTATTTACTAATCCTGAAGGGTGCGAAATCAGACTCACGTCTGCATAGAAACCAATCAGCTTCCAGGTTTTTTTGTCAAAGCGTAATTGAACAAGCTGAGGTTAGAAGCCGATTGGTTTCTATGCAGGAATGAGCCTGATTTTGCACTTTCCATCTTTAGTAAATAAACCATTTTGTGTTATAGAAGGCTTTTGGGACTGTATATAAAAGAAGCATATGACAATGGTAGTAAAAAGAGTTCTGTGACACTGCATGTGATACAAAGTGTTAAGTACCTTGTGTAATACAGAGGTGTGAAGCAATGCATGTAACAGAGAGACTCCAGGCACTCCTTGTAATGTAAAGCTTTCTATGCTTTAGAAGGCAGGCCTTACCGGTGCTATGGATAATGTGCTGTGTGTTCTGGGAAAACATCTGACTCATCCCTCCTTTACACAACTTCTTCACCTGTGTAAGTAACCATTGATTTTAGTTCTCTTCTTTTGTGTGCAGTATGTATCACTATAGTTCGCTTACAATGTGTGCTTTAAATGACTTCTTGAAAGGGAAGAGCAATGGATGAGCTGCATTTTATAGCTCGACTCAAGGGTTTGCATCTGTGCCACAGAAGTATATACAAGTCTCAGGACTGCTACCTAGGAATGAGAAATTTATCTACTGATTTCCTTTGCCTTAACCACTTCCATACCGGGCACTTTTACCCCCTTCCTGCCCAGGCCAATTTTCAGATGTCAGCACTCTCACACTTTGAATGACATATAACACTGTACCCAAACTTAAATTTTATCATTTTCTTCACACAACTAGAACTTTCTTTTTTTGGTATTTAATCACCACTGGGGTTTTTATTTTTTTTTGCTAAATTAACAAAAAAAAGACTAAAAAATTTGAAAAAAACCCCCACCTTTTTCTTTGTTTCTGTTATAAAAGTTTGCAAATAAATAATTGTTCACTTCATAAATTTAGATGTATTCTGCTATATTTCTTTGGTGAAAATAACTCAAATTAGTATTTATTATTTAGTCTGTAGGAAAGTTATAGAGTTCACAAACTATGGGATATATCTGAAAATTGATCAGTCCTGAAGTACTAACGGCCAACCTAATTTCTTGAGGCCCAAAAATGTCAGAACAGTACAGATATCCTCCAAATGAACCCTTTTTGCAAAGTAGACTGTCCGACGTATTTCATAAGAGGCATGGCGAGTATTTTGAAGTTGTAGATTTTTTGTCATAATTTTTTCGGAAAATGAAGAAATTAAAAAAATGATTTTCACTTTTTTTTTACATACTGTAACCAGTGCAATACAGCATCATCATATAACTGGCATGGCGGTGATCAGGGACACTGACTGCTGACAGATCGAAAAAAAAAAAAAAATTGATAATTTCTTTTCAATTTTTTTATTATTATTTTTAATTTTTAATTAAATTTTTTTCTCTTTTTTTAGGATTTGTTTTCATATTGCACTATGACCAAAGTAGTATAATGTTACCATAGTAACATTGATCAGTATCTTTTTTTTTACACAGTTTGCTTATAGCAAATAATTACGTTGCTATAAGCAAGCATTTACCTGAATGAAATCGATTCATTCAGGGTTTTTTTTTTGTGATTAGTTGTGATTTGGCCACGGCTAATCACATGATACAGTTGGGCTGTGATTGGCCCAGCTTGTGCATGTGACCGCTGTGACCATTCACAGCTAGACACACTTGTATACAATAGATGGCAATAGATGGCATGAAAGGAAGCCATTCATTGTATATACCTGTCATTTGACCTGCTGTGATTGGTCACAGCAGGTCACATGGTACTGGAAATGGGGCCAGTACACAGATCTGTCATCAGCCGTGTCCGAGGTACAGATCTTGCTACTGCACGGCCCTGCGGGCATGCGCAATGCGCGATCCGGAAAGGACGCCACCCTGAGGGACAAGCTGTTCACCCAGCCACCATCTAGGCTATAGGCTGGGTGGCAATGGTTAAAGGATTGGTTCAGCTTTTCCAAAAAAATGCCTTTGCAAAAAAGGTGCGCCTGTAGATAGAAAACAAACTGTGCAACTTTGACTAAAGTTGAATAATATCCTTGCTATACGTGTAGGCCATTTAACCACTTGCCTACTTGGCACTTATACCCCCTTCCTGCCCAGTGATGTCACACTTTGAATGACAATTGCACTTATACCCCCTTCCTGCCCAGTGCTGGCACACTTTGAATGACAATTGCACGGTCATGCAACACTGTACCCGTATGAAATTGTTATAATTTTTTCACACAAATAGAGCTTTCTTTTGGTGGCATTTACTCGCTGCTGGGGGTTTTATTTTTTCTGCTATAAACAAAAAAAGAGCAAAAAATTTAAAAAATAAAAAAGTTTTTCTTTGTTTCTAGTATAAAACTTTGCAAAAAAGGCAATTTTTCTCCTTCACTGATGTGCATTGATGAGGCTGCACTGATGGGCACTGATAGGCAACACTGATGAGCTGGCACTGATGATGCTGCACTGATAGGCAGCACTGATGGGTGGCACTGTTGGGCAACACTGATGGGTGGCACTGTTGGGCAGCGCTGAGGGGTGGCACTTCTGGGCACAGGTGGGTGGCACTGCTGGGCACAGGTGGGTGGCACTGCAGGGTACAGGTGGGTGACAATGATGGGCACAGGTTAGTGGCACTGCAGGGCACAGGTGGGAGGCACTGATGGGAACAGGTGGGCGGTACTGATGGGCACAGGTGGGTGGCACTGATGGGCACAGGAGGGTGGCACTGATCATCACTTTCTCTGACAATTGCCGGTTATCGGTAGTACTTTCCTCACGCTGTGACAGCGTGAGGAAAGTGCAGCCGATAACCGGCAACTGTATTTAACCAGTGATCTGCTGTGTCATTGGACACAGCTGATCACATGGTAAAAGGCCGCCATGATTGGCCGTTTACCATATCACATGATCAGCTGTGTCTGTAGGACACAATGATCACCGGTGGCGCCTGGTTCGCGCTGCTGGTGGCGCACAGGGAGCATGTTCTGGAATGATGTCCATGGACGCCATCCTTCGGCTATACCGTGGTAGGGAACTGGTTAAGTACTTCCTGAGGGCTGAATGGAAAACTCCCAGGACATTGCTAAGGACATGTTTCATGTTTGTCAGTAAAAAAATATTTGCCAAGGGTTGGCAACCCTGTCTTTGTCCCAGGAAACAACTTGTTTGTTGCTTGTGCTTTGTGAGAAGGAGACTGCAGGAGAGAGTTGTGTACGTTAGACACGTGGCAGATAAAAGCACGTACACACATTCATTACTGTTGTTGAAGTCCCATGTGCTAACAGCCAATTTGCAATCACAATATACTGAAACATGCCTTATTTGGGGAAATAAATTAGTTTTACAAAGCATGTGGTTGGATGTGAGTCTGTTACCCATACTCCCGGCTGATAATCTGATACTAATAGCTGCTATATTTTGGCGTAAAAAATTGAGTACACCACACATGTGCGGAAATGTTTTTTTTTTTAGCATATTTGTCACTAAGACATTCATCACACACTTGGCAGTCATATGCAGTATATTTTTAGTACAACAAGGGTATACCGGGTGGATATGACAGTCTGTGAATGGTGGGTAAATGTAAATTATACAGTAAACTGCTATATCAGTTTAAAATCCAGCTGGTGAGCTGTCCATAGTGCTGAAACATTATGTACACTTTCAGCACTTGGATAGCTACAATTAACGTGTAGGTCTATTTTAATTTTTTTTATCTTAATTACAGTGCATGACACAGGCAGAATATTCATATACCATGGGTTATAAATTAGCCACAAGGTGCCATACAGGTCCAGGACCATGGTCGATCACTATGAAGCCCAGTCCCTGGAGACCCCCTGGGCGGGATGCCCACTGTAATGGGCGAAACCTGGACTTTATATATAGTTCAGCAATGTGGACAGGTAACACAGGGTAAACTTGTATCTCCGATCATTACTGTGAAAACTGGGCTATGTTTGGAATGTATTTATTTCACAGTACAAACATTTAACAATCACCCTGAGCTCAGGTAGATGACTACAACCTGTTGCACACTTTTTTTTTTTCTAATGCAAGACTTTTTTTATTGTTACACATGACATTATTGGTCATTTCAAGGATATCATCCATACAAACATTGGTTGCACACTTTATAAGGTCCTTGGGCTCTTCCTCCTGCCCTTCTCCATGAGTATTCTTTACAGGATTACCCTATGCTCTGAAACCTATTCTGTGAATACCCCACAGGGAAATAACCTCACTTGTATTTGTAGAACAGACAAGGCAAAAGGGAGTCAATGCAAAATTGCAGGCAAACATTTACACTGCTGAAGGCCCACACAACACTAAACCTCAGGATGATGATGTGTCCCTTGGAACTGAGCAAGAACCGGCTCTAATACCAGTCTTGGCATCCAAACCTAGCTCTATTTTAGGGACACAACAAGCAGCCTATTTGACTAAAGCAGAATTCTCTGCATTGATGTCACATTTCCTCAGATTACGTCCTTAATACAGATATCTTTGTCCAGGGCCTATAAACATCATGCCACTTCCCCTACTCCTGTTTCTCAACCAGAGTTGGATCCTGATATGTCAGCCCTGGAGGACCTGGGCAAGGAAATAAAGAGTAGATTGAGGCAGTATTGGAGGAAGCTGTGGAATATTTCTTTAAAAGAACAACAAACAAAAATCCCCAGCTCGCTTACCAGCCAGTCTGCAACAAACCAAATTAACCCTGTCTAATAGTTCACATTAAAACAAGTGGTTTAGTTTGCACACATTTGCAAATATATACATAAGCTGCAGAGGCAATGCCATTATTGCAGTCCTAACTATACATTTTGAGAGTCTCTAAAGTTGGAGCACATATACAGTATAATAATGGATAGATTAAGGGCATGTATGCCTGGAGGGAGCCCATCCCTCCTTAAAAGGATAGGGACTCACTGGACACCCAGCAATAGCACAATAGCAGCAAAGGTATCCAATGAGTCCCCTCACCAATTCACACTGCACCTAACATACACTAAAGGCCTCGGATGCATACTATTCACATAAAATGCAGGGAGGCATCTCTTCACATACCTCACTAAGTGAACAGGATGATGGTTAAATGGCTATACAATCCCCTGTTTCCATCTCCATTGTGTCAGCCAAAGTTTGGAGTCAAGATCTGGTGTAGATTGGAACAGGCACACAGTGCACCTCCTGTCAGTCAAGAGACTATGCGGAACTATGCAGAACTCTTAATGAGAGAAGGGTTGCTCTACAGCTGCCTTCCTTCTGCACATAATCAGGAGTGTGACTGAGATGGGGTTGAGGTCAAGTTTCACACAATACCAAAACGCAGGCAAGACAGAAGCATAAACCTCATATGAGCACATTTTCTACACTGATGCATTCAGAACATTGCAATTCCCTAATACCAGGTCTGTAGGGAAACAGATCTACTGTTATGCGGCTGGAAGAGATAATCAATGGACTACAAGAGCCATCACTGTAATTGTGCTCTATTGAGGTCTGTGGGTTCGTCCGTTGCAGTGGCAGACAGAGCTTGTAGTCTTCTATTCACAGATCCCAGTAAGAGGATTTGTGAATTGATGGCATGACTGTTGGAGCAGAGCCACATACAGCTGGGCCAAATTTAAAAGAATATAGAATGCTGCAGGGAGAAGAACCCTACTATTTGGACTATTAAACATGGTCACCAAGGTGGACTAAGCCCTTTTCCTTTTATACTTCTTATACTTATATACTTTTTATTGTGATTGTGCTACTCACAGCTTTTTTGTGCAACAGTGCATCTCCTTTTGATCAAAGGAAACATCTGTAAATATATAACACTCTTTATATAAAGGAAAAAAATATCCCTGCTAGGTAAAAACAAATATTTTCACTACTCAAGCAGCCACTGAGACAACTGTGATACCAACTGAAACTACAACAAAACCAAGGGACTTCAGCTCTAAAATAGCCTTATAGAAGGCTATAGGGAATCATAAAACCACATAAATAAATACAAGTGTATACACACAACCCAAAAAGATAAATAAGTGATTAAAGTGTACAATCATAGGTGATACAAAAGTAATTAACTTTATATAATCATCACCTCCAATGGTGAATAACAATCAATCATCAAGTGTCCTGTGCATGGAAAAAAATCGAATACATTCTTTATATTTGCCAGAAAATTTAAAAAGGTGTCCATAATAGGTAATCCTTCAGTGAGAAAGGCCAGCCACATAAGATGCGATCTCTTCCACCACAGGGTGTCCACCACCAGAAATAAAGACACAAAGAGGCCTCTTACCGACTTTGATGGACCATTATATTATAAATGTTCAAAGTACGCTCATGGTTATCCTCGAATCCCAATCCACTAGAGATAGTATTTATACCGGCATCCGTATAAAGAAACCATGGGAAGACATAAGGATAAAAAAAAAAAACACTCCCATGGTGAAGTACATATTAAATGGCTCAAGCGGTTTATTTAAATATAACAAAAAAAGAGGTGCTACCGCCCCAATGTAAAATCCAAACAATAATGGAAAAGTTAGCATAAAGTTAGCACTTTATGATTGACTGTTATTCACCATTGGGGTGATAATTTTATATCGTTAATTACTTTTGTATCACCTATGATTGTATACTTTAATCACTTATTTATCTTTTTGGGTTGTGTATGTACACTTGTATTTATTTATGTGGTTATATAACACTCTTTATTGTGTTTTTCACTGCATGGAAGGCACACACAGCAATGTATGTGACCACTGACCTGTCAGATTGTTGTGCTGATGCTATCAACATCAGCCTTGCAAAGGACATTCACATACAATATTGACAAAGTGGCTTGCTCAGCTCACAGAATGTTTAATCCTTTTCCCTTTATCTTCATAATCAAATATGTCAGTTGTGCCTCCAGTAGCCAGATTAATTTATGCCCACTTTAATATCTTTAATTACTCTAGTAAATCTCATTTTCCCAGGAGAAAATACAGAATTAACAAAATGAATAATGGTACTGTCTAGATAGTTCAAAATATTAAATTTCACTGTACATTTAACACCTGTTGTACTTTATGACCAAAATATAAAGACTTTAATTTGGTAAAGGAATATGTTACTAACCTCATGTGTAGAAACCTATGGACCTTTTCCAACAGTTTGAAGACAGAGATTTGACTTTATTGAAGTACAAAGAGACTTATGTAATAATGACAACGATAATTTCCTACTAGTGGCATTGTGTGATCCTTACTAAATCAAGATATCCCTGCATAGACAGGCTTGTTATTATTATTATTATTATTATTATTATTATTACAGGGATACCTCGGTTTACGAACTCCTCGGTAACGTAATTTTCGGTTTACAAATGAAAATCCATTGAAAAGAATATATAAAACCTTTTCTTCAAACTACTTAGTCCCCTTCCTTAAATACAAAATCACCTAAATCAATTCAAAATAGTCCACCACAAGTCCACACTATTATTAGGTCTTCAAGCGTTGAAAATTGTCCCATTCATCACTTCAAATCCAAGAAACCTCAAAAGAAATAAACTAAATATAGTGCATTACCTTTTAACAACAATCAAATATTGTGATACCATGCAAGAAAACACTCGTGAGGAAAAGGAGAGAAAAAAAAATATACATATATATTTATTTTGAATAAATAAATCACTACTTTTGGTGAATCTCACGTGTAAAAATTACTAAAAGCAAATAAATAAATAAGGTGAATACACCTACACAGCCCACTCGTGGGGTGAAATCCACAGCAAAAAACTAAGCTTGTGATATATGTGCAAAAAGTGCCAACACTCTAACAAACAAATGCACAGCAAATGCTCAACTTGTGAGTATATACTGATCCACAATCCACATAAGTGCCACCACTATGGTAGGGTTAAATACTATTACCCTCTTTAAGCTCAGATAGGCATTTCAAATACTCCGGGGTACAACAGCTTTCCCCTTGTGGATAACTCAATCCA